AGTTTTCTCTGTACATTATGTTACTGAATAAACAATTTTATTATTTTTTTATTATTAAATACAGTTTCACCACATTTCTATTTTAATAAAATTATTTTAAGAATAAATTGAGTATATAAGTCAATGACCAAACATCTATGACCTTGGCAATGATTGAAATGCTGCCAAAGTGACTTACTATAGTTCTATTTTAGAGTAAGCTATTAATGGTGGCATCTGACGAAAGCTACCTATGCTATTACTCTGCTTTTAGCGCAAACTTTACTACGAACAAGATTTGCCTGTGCTACGGTTAGGTATCAGATAAAGTGGTAACATGTTTTCTTAGTTCGTGAGAGTTTTCAGTAATTATATTGATAATAATAATGGCTTATTATTACGCTAATAAGCCATGGTACTTTAATGGCTATTTTTAATAATATCAAGTGATGGGACGAACAAGTCGTGCGCCTCGTGGTAAGCTACACGCATGTCCATAATAGTCGCAGTGCCACTCAGAGCTTTAAATCGCAAAGATCTGAGGGGCACTGCTACTGCGCCCGTCACCCTGAGACATAAGTTGACAAGTGCCATATGCCAGTAATTTCACCAGCAACCTTACTCTTCAAAATAGGAACGCAGTAACGCTGACATTACCGCTTGGCGGCAGAAATAGGTAAGGTGGCAGTACTTCCCTAGACAAATTCTTTCAGAAGGAGCTCTACTGCTACTAAACTGGTTGTTTTAATGCAATAAGAGGTATAATTAACCATCAAGAGGCAACTGAGCTTTCTAGTTAAAACTAATCCAAAAGTGGTCTAACGTGATTGTGTAATAGGAACATCAACGAATTAAGTAAATAATTGCTGTTGTTATCTACTTTTTATGTGATATCAAGCGAGCTTGTGGTAAGTTTGGCCTGTGGTAAGCGACATACCTGTCTATAGCAGTTCCAGTGCCACTCAGAGCTATAAATCGCAAAGATCTGAGTGACACTGTCACTGCGCCGCCGCATCATTCTGAGACATAAGTTGACAAGTCCCATGTGCCTATAATTTCACGTCCCGTCACTTGATATAAAAAAAAACCATATTTTAACCTTTGTTGTGAACTTGTGTATATATAATCACTTTTACGTATTGAGTGTCTAGCTGTGATGTTGATAAAATAATGGCAAAATAAATGTTAGTGGGAAAACGTTTACGTGACGTGACACAATGAGTCCATTGGTATTTGTGTTGGGAAAAAAGTAACAGCGAAATTGTCGTGCTCCGTACGATGTGCTGTAATTTTACATCGTGTGAGTGCGCTAACACACTAGGAACTTAACTATTATCGGCGAAGGAATTCGAGATCAGAAATGTAAACTAAGGTGCTGCCAATAGAAAAAAAGAATATTTTAATCAGACATACGTTG